TATTAAATAAAGGAAAGCCAAGATCATTCTTCACCTGGGAAAGTGGTAATAGTAGGGAGAAGTTATTTGATAGTGAATAGTGTATTTGTCATCATAACTTCCTAGATCATAAGGGGATGTCTCCAATACTTTAGACCTCCTTACACTTGATCCTGTTACCTGCTATACTTTCCTTATAGGCAACTTCAATTTCATGTCCTTGTTGATTCAGTGGTCAAGGAAATTTGGGGGCTTATACATTTCTATTTAGGTGTTTAATTATGAGATTGCTAGGTTTAAGAATGAATTACCCTAAAATGACTTTGGATTTTTTTGGAGGATCTACAAAAATATTTCTTTGCCCCAAACTATTTGGATTTCAGAAGTATAATGATAGCTAGTTTAGTGTGGGGAGAAATCGTATAGATTAGGGGTAGGGTTAAGGCAAAAATAGAGTGAAGAATACTCTGTGTGAATTTTAATGAATTCCCATTCCTCTTCATCACAAACTGGTTTCATTTATTCACATTTATTAGGTACATACTGTGTACAAGCTACTATGCTAAATGATTTGATAGTTAAAAAGATGAAAGATAAACTGGCCTGCTCTCAAGGAATTTTCAGCCTATTAGAAAGTTTTGATCTAGGTTTAGAAAATCCTAAGCAAAGATTATTTTCAAATTTAGTTGATTTGTGATAGTTATTTGGTCATTACCTGGTAATATAAGATGCCTGTGTCATTCCAGTCCACCTTTATACTTTATTGCTCTTAGTTGGTGGTAGTTTCCGATTAATTAACCCATCCCCAAATTATGTGTTCATTTAGCTAATTCTGATGATCTCCAGTTTATGTAATATAGACTAGCCTTCTCAATATATGACATTGCCTCAGCCAGCTATGCCATGTTCCGTTTTCTAATCTTTGTTCTCCTCTCTGCATGCCTGTGGGGGTACGAATGGATAAAGATATTTTATTCTTATCTAATACGCATTTACCTAACAACTAAACCTCCCAAAATGAGCAACTTATTATTTAGAATCTATGTTAATAATTATGTTAGAGAATAAACAGACATTTCTTCTCCAAGTTTCAAAATACTATTGCATAGAATTAAAACTGAGTTAGTTTCCACTTGAAATTTGAGAGGCATGTCAAAACTAATCCTTCCTCTGAGTATCTACTTCTTTGAGGAGCTTTCTGCTACTGTGTTGATAGGTGAGTGGGGAGATAGTTCTTATGATACTTTGATAAGAGAATTTTGATCTTAGGAGATAGGGAAGGATATGGCTAGCATGAATATGAACTTACTAATACTAGACATAGGGAGCCCCTTTTACAGGTTGAAGATAATAATTGTGGAACAAGTAAAAATAAAATAATACTTAATATAACAGATAATCAACAGGTAGAGCTTGTTTCCTGAAGAAGTTACTGAAGCTGAAAAATACAAGTTTTTTCAGAAATTGGTAAATTAATGTATAACAGACAAGAAAAGAAGCCAAAAGGGGCATATTCAATAAAGCACCATTTCCTGTACTACCAACTATACTTCTATGTAAGATTAATGAACTTAGACTTGCAGGAATCCTAGTGATGAAAGAAAGATTTCTTTATATTTCACTAAATATTTTCACTGTTTAAGAAATATTTCCCAAATATTTATTCTTGTATTTAGGAATAAATGTGGGCATGTACATTGTGATAGGAAGAGCATTGGTCTAGAGCAGAGGTCTAGTTCAGATTTTGCTGGAACTTGCTCTGTGACCTTGAATCAATCACTTAACCTTTCTGGGCCTCTGTTTCCTTTCTACTTTAAAAATTTGAGCTGGGTGTGGTGGCATATGCCTATAGTCCTAGCTACTTAGGAGGCTGCGATAGGAGGATCGCTTGAGCCCAGGAATTCGAGACTACGGTGAGCTATGATCATGCCACTGCACTCTAGCCTGGGTGACAGAGAGGGACCTCATCTCTTAAAAAAAATCTGTTATGCTAGAGGCCTATAACAAATTACTAAGGGGAAATAAGAGGTATCTAGTATATACCCTTAACTTGGAAGAATGCTGTGAAAATAATAGCTTTCTGTCAAAAGAAAAATCCTTGAGAATACTAGATGAATGGTACTCTTTTATGTTAAGATATACAGTTAGATATTCATAGTTTCATGTCTTCAGGTTTTCAGGGTTCAGATATTGAATTTGTTTTTGGCATTGTGAATGCCTTTACATTGAAATTTTTCTGTCTGAGATTGCTGTTTATTGAAAATTATCTGTAATATAAGGTAACATATGTAATGAGCATACTTCTGGTCACAAGGGTAATTGTGAAATCAAAGTTGTTACCTCCCTGCCTTGTTCTCATTCTTTCGCCTGCCTCGAAGTCAGAATTCAGTATTGCTTGTATGTTCCAGGGAATTTAATTTGTCAAAGGATATCATATATCAACTTAGACTCTACAGCTTGGTAAAATGAAAAGTGATCAGGAGTATAGGTAAATGTTGAAGGTTTTAGTTGGCGGTTATAATCAATGGAAACTCTAGAAACATAAAATATGTCTACACTATGTTTACTTAAACTAAAATTTTTCTTTACCAGGAGGAGAAAAACAAAGAGTAGCAATTGCAAGAGCTATTTTGAAGGACCCTCCAGTCATACTCTACGATGAAGCCACTTCATCATTAGATTCAATTACTGAAGAGGTAAATGATGATGGAAATACAAAGCTCTTTAATGTTTAACTTTTTCCTTGAAAGTTTTAGTAAAATGGTATTTTGCTCTTTAGCACCTCCTATTGAAGTTCATTGAAGCAAAATGCCTAGCCCTTTTTCCCCATATGCCAAGTGATGATGGTTAAGAATGCCAGGTTGCATTGAACTAAATGTAGTGTTAAATCCATTTGCAAATATGGTTCCTTTTGGAACCCTGTGATACCTCATGCTGTTATTGTATTACGCTTGTATCTTGCAAAGGAATTGCCTAATGTGCTGACAGAGGAAGGAGGTTTTTTTTAATTCTCTCTCCTGTTGCCACTTAACACTCATTAAAACAAGTCACGTAAGTGATTGTGACACTTGTGACACGGTACACACCAGAAAGCCTTTCACTTATCATGGAGCAACTCACAGAGGTGCAAATCAGGCATACAATCTGCAGTGCTGGTATCAATTTGTATTCATTCCACAGGAAGTGTTGTGAGACACCAAAATATGACATTGACTTCATGACACTAACCCAGCAACTACATTAGACTTCATAACAATATCTTTCTATTACATACAAAAGTCTCAACAACAATGACAATTTTATAAACAAATCCTCTTAATCTAGAACTGAACATAGGCAGATTTTGTCAATGGCTTCAGTCACCTACCTTTTAATTTAATATATTGTATAAACCTGGTATTGAAGGATAGGCCTAATTTGGCTTTAAAGGGTGTATGACATAATTTTTTTTTTTTTTTTGAGACAGAGTCTCACTGTGTTGCCCGGGCTAGAGTGCCGTGGCGTCATCCTAGCTCACAGCAACCTCAAATCCTGGGCTCAAGCGATCCTCCTGTCTCAGCCTCCTGAGTAGCTGGGACTACAGGCATGCGCCACCATGCCCGGCTAATTTTTTTCTATATATTTTTAGTTGTCCAATTAATTTCTTTCTAATTTTAGTAGAGACGGGGTCTCGCTCTTGCTGAGGCTGGTCTTGAACTCCTGAGCTCAAACAATCCGCCCGCCTCGGCCTCCCAGAGTGCTAGGATTACATGCGTGAGCCACTGCACCCGGCCATGTATGACATAATATTTGCCTATGGAGTTAAGTCTTAGGACACATTATTTGATCTGCAACATATTTAAAACAATTTAATTTTGAAGTAAATTGATTAGCACGAGGATTTCTTATATTTAAAGTGAACTTTATGCAGGATCAGCCCTATTCATAGGAAAAGTAGGAACATGCTTATAAGAACTTTATACCTAAAATGTGTCATACTACCACCAATTAAAAGTCCTACTAACAGTTATCATTTGAGTCACACAGCTTTATTATGTCAGAGCATAAGCCATTAAGAGCTAACATAGAACCCCCAAGTGGAGGAATTACCAGAGGATTTGGTCAATTTTAATGGGCCTTTTTAAAAGGTCCAGAGTCCTCAGTAGGATGTCAGAGTTTAAGTTCTTAAGGGTAAAGAAAGGGAGTCCCCATAAACATCACAGTTTTTCTTAGGATTGGCCCTGTACTTGATTATCAGTCCGCTCTAGTAAAATATAAGGTCTTCTTTTCTTGGGTAACCATCTACTCTTGACAATTTTATACCTCTAATAAATAAAATGTTTAGAAAGATCTGTAGGAAGCTATTGGTTATATTCCCATCCCCCACACTGCTGTTTCCATCTAGCTAGCTACACTTAGACCCAGGTTTCCAACTATAGCTGAATATATATACAACTCTCTTATACTTTATAGGTGTAAACAAAATGTATTTTTCAGGATGCATTAAGAAGTCAATGCTTTTGAAAAAGAGATTTCCTCAAGTTAAAAATAGTCGTTGTCTTTGTCTGTCCTCTGAGTTTGAACTAAGGGAAAGCAAATGTTCCTGTACCCTTCGAGTCTCCTCTTTATTTGGTTTATTTTGAATTTCTCTGAGTCCTATCACTTGAGTCTCTCCTCATTTTAGTTTTGTTCTCGTTGATAAACGTCATATCTGGCTATGCTCCTGGTATCACTGTAATTGTTGTTTATTTGTTTTAAAGTATAGAAAATATCTACCTTATCCTAGACTTTGTAATTTAGAGTAATGTTACCTATCTTAAAGAATTTTTTACCATGATCATGTGATCATATTTGCCTCCTCTTTTTCTTGATTTTGTCCTCTTCTCTTTAGTAATTATCATATTAAGTCAAATATTTGATACTGACATAAAGTTTACATAATAAAAGATTGACATTTTATATGTTCCTTTAGGAAATATATGATTATTTTAATTTACATTTACCTAATGAGTAGTTCTTTTTTTTTCTCCTATTTTTCTTGTCAAACTTGTAGGCTATTCTTAGTGCCATGAGGGATGTGGTCAAACACAGAACTTCTATTTTCATTGCACACAGATTGTCAACAGTGGTTGATGCAGATGAAATCATTGTCTTGAACCAGGTAAGAGATTTAATTTTAAAGTTTAGTATTTCAGGAGCATTGGAAATTGTTATAGATACAAGAAACTTAAATACTGTTTCTAATAAAATATACAGAATTTGTGTTCTTTAGATGAGATTGAATCCTGATAAACATTCTGATTTTAGCCCCTTTTGATTGGAAATAATGCATATCACTTCTAAGAAGGAATAAATTGTATTAATTCACTTTCTATTAAAGTACTACAAGCAAAAGTTTGATCATGAAAGCATTAAATCTTCGTGATAGAAGCAGGTTTCCAAGGATATATATATATAATTTTTTTGCATTCATTTTTGCTCTGAATAGTATCTTTGCTGAATGTCTTTGCTATATTATTTATTTTTATATTTCTAATACCTGCACACACCTTTGATGTCTAAAGGAAAATTACCATAAAATAAAGCAGTCATTTTCAAACAAGGCCATTTTTATTTTATGTTTTTCCTTATGGAGAAAGTAAGAAAAAAGACAGCCCACTTCATCTTTTCTAAGGGAACTATTATATGAGTGTGCTGTGTAAATGTTCTGAACAAACCAGAGTTACCACTATTGTGATTGGTAGATTCGAAAATTGTAATAATTTTCCTTTTCTCCTCTCTATAAGGACCTCTTCTCCCCACCCCCTAGTACTTGCTTATTTCTAATATTGTTCAGTTTTCCACCTTGCATTTAGCCTTTTCTCTGATTATCTTCCCTTCTAATAAGTACATCTTCGATTCTTTATCATTTTGAAAGCCTGCATACTGAGAGCGCAGAGAGAAGCAGCATTCTCAAGTACCATCTATATATTTAGTTATTGAGAGAGACTTTTTCTCTCCACTAAAATTTCTTGTAGGGTATTCAGTGCTGTGATGTAATACTGTTTCCTTTCTAAGTTACATGTACACTTGTGACCCTAGGCCTTTCTGTTGATTTGTTCATAAATGTTTACATTCATTAGAAAATAAACTGATTTTTCCAGTATGATTGTACCAGAATGTCTTAAATGGGAAATTTTGTAAATATACCTTATTATATCATTGATATTCATGAATCAGAAGTAAAATCTGCTTTGTGCTTTTTATTAAACTTTCCAATTCTATGCAGTCATGTAGTTAGAGCTTGTCAAGGTACTTTAGCAGGCACATACTTACCTGCCTCATGCCATGATGTCCATAGTATCTATACAGTTATATCATATCATTGCCACTTAGGTTTTGGATTATAATTGGAACTAAATTATTAATGATCATAGCACCTGTATCTAAACTAAAATCTCTTTATGTTTATAATTTGATGGTTCTGTAGTCACTTGATTGTGAAGATCACAGATTTTCATTGCCTAGTGAAATTAAGATGACCTTTTGTTAAGTTGAAGGCCAATTCATGCTGCCGATCAGTTATGGTTCTCCTTGAAAGAGGCAGTTTTAGTATTTTGAAACGTTATTGGGGTCCACGCATCCTGCACCTTCAACAGTGCATTCTTTCACAATTTCTACATCACTGAATGGCTTCCCTTTTTTCCCGAGTATATAAGCGACTTTATAAGTTGTCTCAGTGGCATTATTTCCAGGTCTTATTGCTGCTTGAAAGAATTGTCTTTGATTGTATGTTTCATCTTTTAATTTCTGCAGTACAACCTTTTGCGCCTCTCCCTCTATTTTGAAATATTCATGGTCCTTATGAGTGTTATAATGTTGATGAGCATTGAATTTCTTTAATGTTGATATTGCAGTATCACAAAGCAAGCAAATCATCTTATCTTTAGCAGAAACAAGATAATATTGCAATTTCCAATCCTCATTAAAAAAGTCTATTTTCTTCCTTCAGCATTCTCTTGGTCTTCTTTGACATGATGGGTTGTTAAGCAGACAGAATTAAAAAATACTGTCAAGCTGTGCAGCTATTCACAAATTCCACTTCAAACAGAAACATAGTGCACCGCTGTCAAAAGCTGATAACAGACTGGTGTACCCGACCCCCATAAACTCTTGACAGTCAGCCTCGTGCGGTAGTGGAGCCAGTCGGCGGGGGGGAAGTTAGAACTAAATTATGAGTGTAGCAGCCGTCAATTTAGCCCTTATGGCTTACTAATGTTCTAATTGTGCCCATCAATCTGGGAGGATTATTTCATTGAAACTTATTTTATTCTTTGGTATCGTAAATACATTCATTTCAAAAATAAAAAATATAAAAGACGAACAAAAGTGTATTAATAAAAATAAAACAATTTGTTCTATAAAATTTAGATTCAGTCAAAAGGCCG